AAGACATCCGGACCCCTCCTAGCGCCAGCCCGCTCCTGGTGCGGGCTCCGTCTCATTGTTGATGTTCCTCTCTTTAGGCGACGTCCGGCACACGCGGACGCCGCCCCCTCGCGGCTGGCCAACTAATGCGGGTGGAGGGGAAACCCACCCTGTCCACCCGCGGCCACACTCAGGGCGGCATGAGGCTGTGGTAGGCGGGCCTCCGCCGCCCGGTTCGCCGGCGGCGGATCGGGTCCGAGTGGAGGTCGTCCTCCCGGGCCCTCTCCGCCGCCTCCTTCCGCGAGATTACTACCTCGCAGAAGGTTGCGACCGCGGTAAAACAACTGTCGCTACCGGCCATGGAGCGTACTACGGCCGGTAGCGAGAGATCCACTCCGATGACTGCAGTGAGGGCCCGGCGCTGCGCCGCCCATGCGGGGCAGACCGCCAGCGTGTGCTGGGCCGAGTCCTCACTGCAGTCGCAGTGGTGGCAGGCGGGACTCAGTTCCCTCCTAGCGACCGTGTGCAGGTACTTTCCGAAGCAACCGTGCCCGGAAAGCACCTGCGTCAGCCGGAAGGAAAGGGTCCCGTGCTGCCGCCCTGCCCACTCGGCGATGACCGGCTGGAGAGCCTCCACGGCGGCGAAGCCAGCGCGTGGAGTCTCCAGCCGGAACGACCAACGAGCCATCGTGGCTCGGCGAGCGGCTTCGCGCCACTCGCGCACATCCTCGGGCGGAGGGCGAAATCCGCTCTCCGCCCGGAAGTCAGCCACTCGCCGATAAACTTCGGCGAGCACTTCCGCCTCCAAATCCCACGGTGGAGTTCCGGCCAATGCGCATGCCACCTCCGTCGAAACGGCCCGTCTAGTGGTAAAGTAGGCCAAAACCTCCTTTCTAAGGAAAGACTTATGTCCAGCAGTGGAGCACTAAAGGCTGTTGATGTGATGTGATGACACGGTTAACGTTTTATTAATTCACCGGTCCATTTGTGTCAAAGCATGGTTCTCCCACAGTTTTAGTGTTACTTTAAATCAACTCAAAAAAAACTTAGTCTATATATTTTTAAATCAGATATACTTTTGTAGTAAAACGCATTCTGAAACTATAATTGACTACACATACAGAGAACGTTTAGTATTGCTTGTTTAGCTTGACTGAATTCACTGTTTCATATATTTTTTATTAAAAAAATAACAGATGTTGCCTGATCTAAAAATGTTAAAATACTTCCGTGCAAACTAAGTAAAAGTTATAAACGTAACCAGCACCTTACATAACGGTGTAAGCCTCACCCCTTTAATTTACAAGCGTATCACGTCTATACAAAAGTTACCAGTTTGAATAAAATGAGTCTAGTTGGGTCACACTTTTTCTTTTGTAAAAAATACATACAAACGTCTCGACCTAACGTATGTTCGTGTAGTTTCTTTTTGTAAATTAGACTTACAGTAATATAATAACTCTCTTTTTATCCGAATACGCGATTCTTTTTCTTTGCCGTTATTTAGTTTGGGAATAGCACTAATATTTTTTGTATTTTTGTTTCGCAAATGTGATAGCGTATATGTATGTTCACATTAGATTGGTGTTTTCAGATGTAAATAATATAATACGTAAAGGAATAAATGTCATGATATATCAAGAAATTATTTCACTTCCATTTATCACAAATTGAATGTAGAAAAACGTAGAGCAGGCGAGGACTCTACTTCGGGCTATTAGGTTTCCTCTAAAGTGTCTAACATTTATGTTTATTAATGTAATAGAAATAAAAAGAATGAAGTAAGTATACAGGGTTATTGGGTAAGTCGACCTGAATACTTTAAGGGGTACTAGATACCATCATTCCTGATAGATTTTTCGATGAAGTACCATATCCCAAATCTAACCAATTTTCAAGATAAGACTTTTAAGATTATTTTTTTTAAATTGCTGAAATATTGCCTAATATTTTTTTATAACTTAAATCCTCTATTTTATGTTTTTTTTACTGGTTTTGTGTTGTTAATACATTGTTTTATAATTCCATTACTAATTTGTAGTTAACTCAACCGACTGAGCGGAAGTAGATGGTTAATAATAGCAAAAAGAAAAAACAACAGAAATTTTTATTTTCTTTGACGGAAAAAAAAACTTATGGCAGTAAAACTACAGTCAGTTATCTAACTTGGGACTTGTTGTTGTGAAGAATCTAGGGGGAGGCCTATGTACAGCAGTGGATGTCTATCGGCTGCGATGACGAATCTTAGAATGGGTCAAAATATTTTGGAGAGACAGTAGTTGTTTTTACTTATTCTAATTTAAAAAGTAAACGTAGTTTAGGATACCCACAGGCCAGGTGGAGTGACGATTTGCGCAAGATTGCTGGTAGGAGCTGCATGCGAGAAGCCCAAAATCGATCTAAGTGGCGTGCAATTGGAATGGGTTAATGATGATGATTCTAATTTAGGTTAATCGATTTTGTTCAATTACTCATCGATAATATCTAGATAGATGGCACTACCATTATAAATAATAAAACGAAGTAGATATTATGCAAAATATATTTCCCTTTTTGTGAATAAAAATTTATAAATTTCTCGCGAGTTCCATCCTACTGACTTTCATCCTTCTGAGGTCTAGTTAGTGTGGTTCCCAGAATAAGCATTCGTCTATATTTTATGCATTCTTTATTCTGTTACTTTTACTACTATTGGCTTCATTATTCACCAAAAAAAAATGGAACCATTTCTATGTACAAAAGACTTTTGTGATCAGTTAATATTAGATGTTTGCATATTATGCATTTTAGGTGAGGTCACAATTTTGGTTAAAATTCTTGTTTGTCACATATATATTTTTTTAAAAGAGAACTCCCTTATGAGGAATATATATCCTGTGTCGCGGGGGACTTTAGAACGCCCAGACTCAGAACAACAAGTTGTGGATCACACAAAGTGTCGTCCCAGGTGGGGATCGAACCAACAACTCTCAACGCAGTAGGAAGCGACGTGGCGATCGCTTAAACCGCTACGCCATCCGTGCAGTCATAATTGCATTCTAACGCGAACGCGAATTCTAATTTGAATTTAGATTTTAATTATCAATCTTAAATTAGATTGTAATTGTCTTGAAACTCTGCTGATAACTTATTATATAAGATTAATTCCATCATTTCCGATTTGAAGTAGCCTAAACACGATTGTTATTAAAATGTTTATTAATACCAGTCGTTTGACTTTCCAACTAATTTGACTTAGATATACAAGAACAGAGAGACAAAGCTAAGATAATCATTGATTAATTTGTAATGATTTTTAACATTTTATTAAAAAGTGTTTAGTCTCTGCCCATCTTAACAACTTATTGTTTCTTATTGAACTCACAATTTCCGCATCTCATTTCTAAAGTGCCCGGTCAATCGCAAGAGACTTGTCTATTTTGACGTAAATGGGATTAAAATTATTGCCAGTGAAATGTAGACGTTAAATATGCCCCTGCTCATCCTTTTGGTGATATATAATCTTCAACCTCTTAATGTATGTCATCAATATATGTATATGTAATAATAATCTCTTAATAATTCAAAGTTCTTTGAAACACTGTTCTGAACATTATTCCAATATTTTGCAAATAACATACGACATATGTGGTGGTTTTAAGGATTCGACGCAACGCCTATTTACATATGTCTGAGATAACATATTCAGGCGATAAACCCCAAATTTGATACAAAGCCTTGTTTCATACAGGTGAATATTGATCTGGAGGGAAATGGGACCTTTTGTTTACAAACTAGTATGAACTCAGCAACTAGAATACAGTTGGAATATTAATTACTGTTAATATACCTTTAAAGGGATATCAAAAGTTATTTTCGGTCCTTTTAATGAGGAAACATTATTTTTATTAGTTAGTAATAAAGGAGGATAGAATATTGAAATAGCTCTGTAATTAATGTCAATTATTACTGAGAGAGGACGCGGACTTTTGGTACTACAGCCGTTTTAGTTACAGGTCTGAGAAATTGATCTGTTCTAGCTTCTAAATTCATCCGTTTAAGTCTTGTTACGGTTTCGCTTTTTTGATCTTTAACGGAATAGGAGGCATGGAAAAGTGAGATATGGACTTGTTCCTTATACCATGAGTGGGACCAAATTCTTTTTAAATTGTGCGAGTGAATCAGTCTCCATTGAGAATTTGTAGATGTTATGGCTTTTTTTCTGTAATTTTCAATATTATGTAGGAACAAAATCAATCAAATTTATTAAGTCATTTTTACATTTCATTTCGTTTCATGTTCGTTCAACAAATTTTTCTTATTTATTTTTGCCATAATTCAAAATACATTCTTCACTCAAGCTCACAATAAATCCGAATTCACATTCATGTCAAAATATTTTAAAGGCTTATGTAAAGTTAGTGCCCTTAGGGACCGAACAATTTAATATCACAAATTCTACAGAAACAAACTAGAGAAATATTTGAATAGTCTTACATACATGAAATAATATTTAAACAGCAGAAAGAATATCTCACCAACTCATTTGCAAGAGATACGTTGAGAAACGGGCGAAACTTTTACTCCGGCGGGAAAAAAATATGTATTTGAAACGAGTTTGCTGGGAATGGTTTTAATATCATTGTTGTATATTATTTTACGTTATTCTACGCAGTAAATGTTGTAATGTTTCTAGGGATTATTTAAAGTCATACTTTAATTAGGACTATTGAAATTACAATTGATTATGTTGACGTTTGGTGCCAAATTTCAAAAAAAAATCGCACAATCACTGTAAAATTTTGTTAACCCCTACTGGGTTAACAATAAGGTATCACATCTTTTTGAGGTAAAATAATTGTTTTTTTTTTTTAAATATTTTGGATACAAATAAATCCATCTTATAAAATGCATCCAAACATGAACACCTTTACGAGCTTTCATTAGATATCGTCAAACTTACCAAGTCTATAAATGAGTTAATAGAATTTTCATGAATATATATTGTTCATAAGATATTTATTTTATTCTCTTTGATTCAGATTTCGACCTCCATCGTTCGAAGGGACAGCGTCTGAAGACACAATGATCGACGCAGACACTGGATCAACAGTCATATTTGATTGTAAAGTGACTGCATTGAGAGATAAAACGGTAATTTCATTGCATACATTTACACGTCTACTTTAAAATATTACATTCGTTTTAACTGCAAATCTATATTTTATTATGGATAGTCTAAGGACAACCGGAATTTTCCTACTAATTTGTGAATTTAATAGACTTGATTAATAATACAGGTAACAAGTTTTACCATTGGTGTTCTAAATGGCAGATAATCTTGATTGGTGTTGGTTGTTTCAGGTTTCATGGATAAGAGTATCTGATGATGAAAATCTAGAATTATTGACTGTCGACCTCGACACACATACAGCAGATGCCAGGTATCTAAAATCAAAATATTCCACAATTTATAATCGTATTACGTGAATATTTAGAAAATTCAAAACAGATACAGATGAAAGATATAAAATAATATAGGTACATCATTTCGCCTGGGTATAACCACTCTCTCTTCTTTAAAATAAAAAGAAAATGTTTTCCCAAGTTTTCTTTCTCCCAAATTAACGCTTCTCATGCTTATCACATTCTGAAAACCGCATTTCCATTTTCTCGTAGTCATAATTAATATGAACATTTATTTAGCATAATTTGTTTTTACAAAATCCTAAGGCCCGCATATTTTTCGCACGTATTTCATGCGTAAAAACTAAATTTTATTCTGCAGAACACAAGTGCAAACAACGTTCAGTCTCCATTCGGCGTTTATGTCATAAATATGGCTTCTTATTTACGTACGCCAGCTTTGTAACTGTATATGTATTTGTGTTGAAAAGGGGATGTGTTTGCATTAACACCTCAGACTACTTTGAATGGATATTTTTGTTATTGTATAGAGGGCCACCGATCAGACTGTTGCCCAGATGTAATAATATCTTTTTCTAATTGTTTCGTATCCATTATTTTAATTATTTTTATTTTTTGTGACTTTAATGTTACACACTTTAAAGTCGTATGTGATCGTGAACGTGTGTGATCGTAACGTTTTTTTGTTTCCGAAGTTTCTATCGAATCGTACTATTTGTGGTCATTTGTAGACCAGTTCAGACCTGTTCAGTAAGTTATTCTAAATTAGACCCAAGTTATATTATCGAATATCTATTATTGTGCTCTAATAAGCCGTTTTTAATTCTTGCAATTTGTATTCAGGTACAGAGTGGACCTGGCCGGTGAAAATTGGAAATTAGCATTAGCAGTAGCGAAAGTTCAAGATTCAGGGGTATATTGTTGTCATGTTTCAACACATCCTCCGATGCTGAGACGATACATATTGACCGTTCATCGTAAGTTATAAAAATAGTATGTTGCTATGTTATGTTAAAGTTATACAAGTAATAGAGCTGTTTCAATATAGTTTTATAAACAACTAGCTTTGTCCCACTGTAAAGCGCGTTCAGTAATGCTGCAAGTTTTCCCGGATTAGTGATGTAAATATCATGGTCATAAGTTTAAAATTTAGGGTGTGAACGGGTGAACGAATAAACGTGGGGGGGGAGGGTTATTTAAGCTCCAGTAACCTCACTCATTCAATCAAAAGCAACGTAAGAAATAGTCCAGTCGAGCCAGCTTTTATGCTGATTCATAGCTCTTTTGCGTTATATAATTTATAATTCAATAAAATTAAATATAGTCATCTCAAAAATTCGGTCTAAGTGGCGTGCAATGGGAGAGGCCTCTTTCCAGCATATGGTAGGCGATAGGCTGATAGGCTGATGATAATAATGATGATGATAAAATATAGTCATATGTATAAAACTTAAACATTTTTTTTTTGCAGCACCTTCAATTAAGATGAGTAACGAAGCCTTCTTAGAAACGGGTGAGACGCTCTCACTAAAATGCGCTGTAATTAATTTGCATCCTGGCGAAGCCGTACCTGAAATGCACTGGTACAGAGGAAACAGCACCGTGTCGCTAGATGAAATAAGAGGGGGTGTACTAATTGAAACCGACCATTTGACTTTGACAAGTCATTTACAGGTAAGCTAAAACATTAAAATTAATAAATAAGTAGACGTAACGACAATATTATTAAGTTTATTTTATGTACTGTGTATTATTTGACTCCACGGATTGCGTTGTGGTTTAAGCGGTCACCTCGCCACTTTTAACTGCTCTGAGTGTTATTGACTTTTGGGTTCAATACATAGGTAAATACTGTGTGATTCACAAATTGTTGCTCCAAGTCTGGGTGTTCTTTGTGGCCGTTTCATGAATGTTGGTAAAGTCCCCGTAAGAATGTTTGTAATATTGGTGTTACCTGACATAGATTAGTGTAACACTAAATACCACGTCCCCATAAGATTATTAATATTTTTTAATATCTTGCTTTTAAATTCTTATTGTTAATTAATTGATGAATTAAATAATTTATTGATGTTTTTGAGCGAGGTCGCGTGACTTTAGCGAAGATTTTTTCGTGGTAGCGCTCATTCATTGTTAAGTGATTCGAATTTGTGAATTAAAGATTATGTCATTCGAGATGACATAGCTACGATGGCTTTCAGTTTTTCGTAGTAGCGTGCATTCGTTGTTAAGTGTTTCGTATTAGTAAACTTACGAGGACGTGGTATTTGGTTTTACACTTTTTTAACTCAGGTAATACACTCACCCGCGACACAGGATATTTACGGGAGTTGTCTTTTCTTTTATTTATTTTTTACATAAACCCTAAATTACCTAAAAACTCTATTACTTTGGTAATCTGAATTATAGCCTATGTCCAGCAGTGGCCGTCTTTTGGCTGAGATAATGATCACTATATGCATCCAAAAGAAGTTTTCCTAAAGGTAAACTAGTGTTATTAGGTAAAACTAATATTCAGTCGGTGGTCGAAATTTGACCATAATTATTATCTAAAATTTTGCATAATACGTGTATTGTGTTTCGTATATCATACTTTTTAATAACCGAAAAATCCTGTTGACAGTAAGAAAAACTTCCACTTTTTTCATTACCATTAAGTTAGTCAATAGCTACTGAAGAAAAGATATAAAGAAAATTAGAAAATTATCCTTAGGCAAAAAAAATTGAGTATAATCTTTATTATAAGAAAACGAAAGTTGTAAGTACATACTTCAATTGACTGGGCACAAAACTGGACCACTTTGTAGAAATATTAAAATCTTGATTAAATAACTAGTATAATAATAGTAAATTGAGTAACTGAGTACACCTCTGAGTAACTGAGGTGTTTGTCGATTTTCTTAATTACTTAAGTGTTACGGGTTTAAAACATACGAATATTCCGTCCGTGTGGTGACGGATTAAGAATACGAAATGTCACCACCCCTATTCATCCCGTGGGTGTCGTAAGAGCCGACTAAGGGAGCAAATTACGCAGGACAACAGCACTGCAAAGAGAAGTAAAACTTGAAACAAACCCTATACCAACCCGTCTGGCCAGCGTGGTATAATAGGCCAAAACTTCCTTTCTAAGGAGAGGCCTATGTACAACAGTGGACTGTTATGGCTGTTGATGTGTGTATTGTGAATATTAACATCGAGATTAGGATAAACTTTGTTTAATAGTATCCCTTATTAGAATTTTATCTATCTCTAAAACTTCTGCAAATATTAAGTGAATTGATAGAAAATTTAATAAAAATATTGATTATTCCCATGCATGTGTCACAATAATTCTGCCGCATCCTTGTCTACTAGTAGCATTTCCAGTTATAAACAGTAATGATAATTGTGTGCATAAGACTAGACCTAGACTAGAACTAGACCTGCTCTCTGGCTCTCTCATAAGAGGTGTCGATCAGTCTCTTATAAGGAACTAGCCTTATAAACGGAATGAGCACTCGACGAATTTCTCCTGGTGCACCAGCCGCGCCAGCACAACCAGGTGTGCTTAGAAGATAGGAGGGGCGAGAAAGGCGAAACAAATTACGCCCGTTACCAAAATCTTACTCATCTTCCATGGTAGTAACATACCATTTGGTTTCTTCCCATCATCTCATACCAGACCATTGGATTTTCGAAAGGCTAAAACGCCGGCAGTAACAAGAGCACGATAGATTACATCGTTATTATTAGCATTTATATAACATCAAGGACTCGGCACTAACTTTAATTTCAATTTATCGGAGTTACATCAAAAATATCTTTTAATAGAACTTTACCAAGACCTTTTCTCACAACCTTGAGATTATTGTATTTTTGAATACATTGTTCTAAATGAGACTTATTGGCTTTTTTCCAAAGTAATATAAATAAAATTATCGAAAAACAATTCACAGTCACAAAGAATTGAGAATATCAAGACTTGAAAAGCGTCCAGGTGCTTCGAATTCGTACAGAATAGAAACGTGAAAGGAAAAATAAAACATAAAGGTTAAGTAGCTGTATAAAATGTAAAAAACATAAAAAAAATCATTTTTTTAATTCTGTTCCTTAAAAGGCCCTATAGTATCACTTTGTTGTTAATTTATCAGTCTGTCCATTAAGATCCCGTTTATCCTGTTTAGTAAGGCAGAAGCCACTGGCTTCCCCTGAGATAGGGCCTAGTTGGGTGCGTTGTCGATCTGGGTGGGACCTGAAATCCCAGAGCAGGGCGCCTAAGGCTGGCCTGGCTGGCTGGAAACACCACATACTCCTGGCTCCTATATCTACAAGGAGCCGAAGTTTCGAAGGGATTTTGCACCCCGTCACCAAAAAAAGAAGGTCCTCGTGGAAATATGAAATTGAGAAAAAGCTAAATCTTACGGTAATTCGCTAATTTGTTGCTATTGCACATTAAAAATACTTTTGCGAATTGCGACTGTGACTTTAATTTATGGGCAAGTATTATGGAATTATTTATTGAAAAGTATAAATAACTAGTCCACTTCAGTTAATGTCAGTAGAACTACAAGTGTCATAGTATTTAAACATTACGTAAATAGTAGGTAGTCTTAAAAATAAAATCTCACCCCCTGTTTACATTTCATCAACTGTGTCCAGGTTCGTGGGAGGTCAAAAATGTGTTTAACCAGCGTAATGAGGGTCACAAAGTAAGCTTGTCCCTCACAAGGGACTCTGTAATTATGTCTGTAAACGTTTATTGCCAGTGGAGATAACAGAGCGTATGATATTTACTGTAAGATAGCCATAAGTTAGTGGTGCATTAGGGTGTGGTCTCAGTGAAACCGGGGCGGTTAGAAAAACTCATAAATTATTGTGTTATTTACAAGTTAGGAACAGTTATCAACAGCCTTTAATAGCCTACTGCTAGACATAGGCCTCTCTTTAGAGAAAAGGTTTTGGCCTACCATTACCATACCATGCTGGCCAGACGAGTTGGCTCTTTCAAGTTTTCCTTCTCTTAGCAGTCCTGCGTAGTTTGCTCTCTCAGTCGGTCGGTCGGTCGGTCGGTCTCCTAGACTTATTTATTCATATGGTGACAGATTAAGAATACGGAGTGTCACCACCTTTATTTAGAAACAGTATTTGATGAATATTACAATCCTAAGATAGTAATTAGATTCTTCTGAATAACAATTTGGAGCACTGAACACATTCCATATGGGGCCGAACCTCTACATTGTTGTAGACGGTTAGCCGCAATAGCCGCAATATTTCAATATTGTTTAGATTTATTCAAGTAAATACAATGTAAAGTGAACTTTAACGAACGGAGGTGTGGGCTAAATTTAGTTTAAAACAAATATGATTGCGAAATTGTCGCTTCGTCTAATTTTTAGAGGGAAATCTAATTGTCAATTAATGGAATTTACAAAATCGTTATACATTTAAAGGAGATTAAAAATTGGACCTCCTCATATACCTCTGGGTGTTAATTATATAAAATATGTATGTATTTAGAAACATATAAGTGAGTTTCTCAGCAGTCTGGTTGAGATAGTATAGTCTCTGCCTAGTTTGGGTTCAGACTGCCGAGTGTGAGACGTGTGAAGTTATTATAATTATATTTTTCCATCGCTTCGCTTATACTGGGTCCCCATGAAAACTACACCCTCAAGGCTCAGTAATTCTACCTCTTCGTTTAGTCTTAATTACCGTTATATGTTTGCATGCTAAAGTGTCAGAAAGACTTAAATATTTTCTCTCACAACCAAGGTTATGATAAAAAAATATTACCTTAAAAAAGTTGAGACAATGTAATAAGACGAAACAAAATTTTGAAAGGAAAAATCTTTCATTATTACAAGTTTTTGTTTAGATATTGCCACAGCGAAAATTAACAGAATGGTTTCACACAAAAATTAAAAGAAATATGTTATTTTTTCCCTGTAAAAATATACCTACGAAATTTTTGGCGCAAAACGACGATCGCTTTTATACATCTAAAATGAATATAACATTTAAAACGGATTTTCATTGAAATGAAATTTAATATGCATTAATTTAAGAAGACCTTCGTAGATTATTGCTTACTAATTTCCTACAAGAGTCGTAGTACACGGTTAAATAATTTTAAAATTTTCTACAGTTTCCACGATTACTCAACTCGATTCGAATAATAGAAACACAAAATATCGAATGTGAAATGAGATAGTTACTAATAATTTTAATTGTGATTTTATTTTAATTATACGATTAAAATACCCTGCAATGATTAGGCATTATATAATTACGTTTTCACCACCCCTATTCTACCCTTGGGTGTCTTAAGAGGCGACTAAAGGAGCATACTACGCAGGACAACAGGACTGCAAAGATAAGGAAAACTTGACACTAACCCCATACCAGGTATTGTGTGCCAAAACCTGCTTGCTAATGGCCTATGTTTAGCAGTGTACTATTAAAAGTTGTTGATGATGAATTCTTAAGATGGGGTGGGCTGCCCTCTGTGGGACTCATCGAATTTCATGATAAGTGTTGTCACGAGTCGTCAAAACCGTTCTAATTAACCAAAATTAACTCAAACATAGCAATAATATCAATATAATTCTCACAGTATAGTCGGCTAATCTAAGATTATAAATTGTATGAACTAATAGACCTTAAGAATCTAGTGATCTGTTCATTATTATATTTAAGCATTAAATTTCTTTCTCGTCCATCTGAAGGTTTATGATTAAAGATGTTGTTCGGCCAAAAAACTTTAGATAGGGGTACGAGTAAATATAATCACCAGGGACTTCCTTTCTAGGGTATACCTGGTTCCCCGGCTATTAGTACCCGGCGACGGCGTGCGGTTTTAGTCGGTTCGAGTCCGAATTTTGTTCACCTTATATTATTTTTACAGGTAAAACGTCGTGTTTAGTCGCAAGTAAAATTTTCCATAGATATGTTTTATTTCTAGCTATTTATTTAAAAAAACAACATACTCAAATAAGACAAAAATGTAGCACATGTGTCAAGTAAATATATGATTAAGATATATAAAATAGACATTTTATCTACCCACCTACAAAGTTCTAGTTCAAATGCATTGTAGGAGAAATGAAATGGTTTCAGTAGTCTATCAATCAGGATCTAGACCATATACAAGACAGGGAATATTTTGGTCTTCTTTTCGATTATAATTTCATTTAGTTGTACTGGATAATTGGATAAAAAAATCTGTTAATAATAAATTTATTACAGTTGTATCAATATCATTACCAATACTACAGTCATCAAGATATAAATAGAATAATAAAAATCAATATAAATCGCATTTAATTGTTGTTAATTTGATGATAAATTTTATTAATATATTTGAAAAGTTACTGTTATTGCATATAAATGAATATTGTAACACTGTCTGAAATAAGAAATAATAAAAGACTTTTTTATTATCATTAAACCTCCTTTCTAAGGAGAGGCTTATGTCCAGCAGTGGACTATTAAAGGCTGTTGTTGATGATTATCATTAAAACATATCGGAGCGTGAATATTTTTTTTGGACAGGATCGATTTTCTCTGACTCGTAATCAATTAATGTAACATTGGTAGCATCTAATAATTAGAAATAATGTTATGCAAGCGCTTCCCTAACACTGTGTATATTCAGATTTTGTGTGTATGGGCATTATCAACGAACTGAGTTGAAACTTTACACAGTTACTATTGACAATTGTTTGATTAAACGTCACATACAATCAGTAATTAAAGTATTTGTTTACCTAGTTATCTCTTTTTATACAAATATATAATAATGTCCATCATCCACATTTTTAGATGTACTTTGCTGCAAAACATTTTTCAATTCGTGAAAATGGTTCACGAATTAAAAATGTTTTGCAGCAAAGTACATCTGGCAATATTTCCTTGTCGAGATCATCATCCTCATCATCATGAGCCTATCGCAGTCCACTGCTGGACATGGGCCTCTCCCATTACACGCCACTTAGACCGATTTTAGGCTTCTCGCATCCAGCTCCTGCCAATATATATATCTTGCAATATTTCCTTGTCGAGATACTGAGGCAAAATTCCTCATTTACTTATGATAAGGTCAATAAAAAAATTCTCTTCGGTTATGTACCAACCCCATAAATTTCAAATTTAATTAAAAGTAAGTTTGATTTACTTTTCACTTTGAAACTCAAGTTAAGTTTCCAGTAATATTTCTGCTCCAAAAAACATACCTAATTGGATTCACAAAATACCATATCAGAAAACTAAGAGTTAACTCAAATGCCCGGTTCACCGAATACGGCAAGTAAAATCAAATTTGAATTTTGTCAAATAGAAGGCTAAGTATTAAAATACCACGTTCTTTGACTGAACACGTAGTTTCATTTTATTTTTTAAGGTTAGTGTCAATCGCAGTTCTCGCTATATTACAGGGTAACATTGTGGTTTTGACGTTAGTATTTATTTTAAAGAGCATGTAAATCAAAGTATAAAAAACTCGGCATAACATTTAAAAGAAACAGTGTTTTTTTTTCTATTGAGGTATTTTTCTAAATGCATCTAATTCTTCTGTATTCTGTATGTGTATGTGACTGAACTCTGGCTGAACTAGCTCACAATTCGGTCCACTACAAAATGTTTTATAGTTAAATTGTAAAATTTTGCGGAAACGGGAATGAAGACAAAGTAGCGGGGGTATAAGAGGTATAAACAGGTAAAGACAAAGCAGTTCATAGGCCTTTCTTCATTTATTTGCCGACAACCATATTTTTTTTTGGTTGCAAGCAATTGCCAAACTTCAGTGTTATGAGTAAAGTACTAGTATCCCTATCTTCGAGGAGACTTTATATACCTCTACTATTATTACGATACTTACAATTGGAAAGGTAAATGCAACCTATGTAGTTTTTTTTTCTCGCACTTGCCCTATCCTTTGTCGAGCGGGACTTTACAAACATACATGAAACGGACTCAAAGAACACCCAGGCTCAGAGCTACAATTTGGCATCACACAAAGTATTGTCCTATGTGACGATCGAACCCACAACACTCAGCGTAGTAGGAAGCGGTGTGGCGACCACTACGCCATCCGTGCAGTCAATAATTGACATTGCCCAATGTAGATACGAACAAAATTCTGTTATAATATAGTGAACTACTACTATTAAAACTTCCCAATTAATACATTATTTCATAAATATTAGTCGATGATTACAATACCAGACGTAAATGGCAGGGTTGAGATAATTGAAATATGTACAAAAATTGTTAAACAAAGACCAGACAACAAAGTTAAAGAAAGAGTACCATTTCTTTAACACAAACTTATTTAGTTTTAAGATTTATGGCATAGAATTCAAGCAATATAAATTGGTACAGCTGGCTCGACTAAAGTTGGACGATGCAGGCAACTACACCTGCGCCCTGGAGTCGCCGCTACAAATGAGGGCTACTGCCAGAGTTCACGTTTTACAAGGTTGGTACACCTGTTTCCTAATATTTATATAGTAGGTACAAATATATTTTATGGAACGAAGTTCCTTATCGCGCGTTGTGAAAGGGGGCTAGACGGAAAAAATTCGTACGAAAATTTGAAACGACACTTTTTTATTAATATAAATTGACGTCTAACTGTGGATACCATACATTAAATTTGCTTTAACGTTCGCCAACGTCCATACCATGTTGAATACACCGGTTCTCGTCCGATCACCGAAGTTAAGCAACATCGGGCGTGGTTTGTACTTGGATGCGTGACCGCCTGGGAATACCACGTAATGTTGGCTTTTTGCTCTTTATTTTCGTGTCATCTTGTCAGACATTCAGCGCCATCTATCGAATAGATAGGAAATCATTTCGCAAGGAGATTTTAGCAATGTATAAATTGTTTTAATTGTTTTTAATATGTAGGTAATAGCCGCTTTCATAGATGGCGTTGTAATTAAAATCGTGTCAAATCAGTTATACTCGATCGTCACAACTTCGTTCCTATCGGGTGTCCCACGACACCACACGGCTTTTTTTTCTTTACTGTCATCTTGATTTTTTTATTATATCATTTACATTATTAAGTCATGGATTGAAGTCGTTTTCTGGTGCAATCAAAGTATACAGAACATTTTAATTATTACTTAGGTTTTGATAAGATACAAATGGTTCACATGTTTATTTATATGTCCATTTGGATTGAGGAGCCACTATTCATATCAAAATGAAATTAGTATAATTATAGTGTGGTAAATTAAAAAAAATTGTAGCCTTGATCCTCAATTTTTTAGTATAATACTTTAAAAGTTATATGAACGTAAAGGTGGCTCCTCGATCTAAATGTTTGGATTGAGGAGCCATGTCAGAGCTAGAAACATAATGGATGTGGATGGAGCGCTTTTAAACATAATGTACCTCAAAAGGAATAGACACCCTACTGAAAGTTTCTAACAGATTAGTGGCCTGCTCTTTGTTAGAAAACTTTATATTTTTAAAATCGTTTTAAACAAACACAAGACACTTTCATAAAATTCTGGTCTCATGCTTGTCTCATAATTGTAGAAGTACGAGTTACTAAAACTAAATTAGCTAATAGACAATACACTCAATCCGCTGCCAAATTTTATAATAGAATAAACAAAGGAATACATATATATGTATTAAACATTGGAATGAATATAAGAAACTTGTAACGGCTTGGCTAAAGCCTCTGACCTGTGAAGTTACTGAAACATACTTATTAGAAGACATTAACTTACCCACACCCACAACTACACATACATACACACATACGCGCACGTACACACAACACACACACGCATACAGAACACTCACGCACAACACGTACACAGCTCATAGACACATATAAGTATAATTTACATTTAGTTACGGAAGAGCGGAGTGTCCTAACACAAACATTGTTTGCTTAAAAGAAAAAATCATGCTAAATTATGTAAGTCAAAATCATTAAAAAGTAATAAATAAATATCCGTATGGATTGAGGAGCCACTTCAGATTTTAAGCGGATTTTAAACGGAAACTTAGCTCTTATTTAGTAAGTGAGCAAATAATTTTGTAGGACAAATTCTGAAATTTGTTGTAAGATATATCCAAAGTTATATCAATGTAAAAGTGGCTCCTCAATCTAAACATTTGAATTGAGAAGCCACCTGAAACGCGGAATGTATTTAATGAATATGTTAAGGTCTCGGTGTTAAATAAAAGTGGACTGTATTTTGCGCTGGTTTTTAATGATCACAAGGATTACGTTGAAGGAGCAGTGATCCCGTTCGAGTATATAAGGCGAGTGCCGTACATAATAGCAATCTTGGTGGGAGCCGTTGCGTCCGCGCCCCCGCTTCTCGCTGCCTCCCCGTCACCCGCGCCGCACGCCGTTTGCGCGGTTCAGCCGCTTGTAAGCACCGGCAAACCGTGATGTCGAGGATCGAGGTTTGATTCTCGACAAATATTTTTAAGAATTTTGTATCATTTATATACCCTCTAAAATAAAAATAAAACAGACCATAACACATTCTGCCAAAGAGTCAAAGTTTGCCTGGTAGATGTCGAAAAATGTCCAATGCAATTTGTATTAACTTCCTCAGGGTGATCATCATCGAATGCATTACGCTAGTTATTAGTAAGTACCTTATTCCCAACATTAAAAAATCCAACATTTATTGTACGAGGTTAAACGAAACCTACATACTGTACAATAATAAAATATCAGATACGACTTTAATGCATATCGTTATGTAAATTCATTTTCTACGATATGATAGTGTATTATTTTAGTACAAAGACTCCGTTTATCACTGGAAATTAAATTACTATATCATTGTAAAATACTTTTCCTTTTCCACTACGTAGAATGGTACTAACAGAATCCTCGCTTGCTTGAGAAATGAAAAATGATTGTTTCAAATAACTAAAATTAGAGAAAACTCTAATTTAAAACATAAAAACCAAATTTGGCACGTAAGATTTTTGTTTGTGCGATAAATTGTTTAAACCAACAAAGAGAGCAATTATTATCATCCACCTCATCACTATGTTGTAGCATGCAAAAGTATAAAACGTTATTACATTACATATTTATTTAATGAAAATATTCAACATAGTAAAGATCCATTCAAAAAGTGCACTGCTAAGTTACCCTTTAACGCAGTCTTTTCTTTTGAAACTTTTCATACTCGACTTCAAGGTTTTATTAGTTTTAATATTTAAACAGTCTTTAGAAAAACAGCAGAGTTACAAGGTAGCTTTAAATAGTGTTTAAAAATTGCACGGCTTGTATTATGAGAAGCAAGTTTTTTATTGATTTCTCTTGAGATATAATTAGCTAAATTACATGGTTTTATGTAGAAAGTTAGAAACACATCAATTGAATAATCCTTTCTTCTAATTCATTTATGTATTATATTAATCTTACAAAAGAATTTGGAGGGAAGTTACAAAAATTTGTAATGTGCAAATAAATAGATCTAATGGCGATCTTATATTCACAATATTTCTCCAATTCTAAAAAGTAATTTTGCGTCCCTACGCTTTTTTGACACCAGTAACATGTTTCGTGTTAAAGAAAACTGTTCCCATACTCTTGGTGACTTTTTTGTTACGAAAGAATTGTGTTCCGTGTATTCTCTCCGAGGCATAACCTTTCTGCTACATTATCATTTACCTGGCTAATACTAATCATGACTTTAAAAGCTTTTTCACATCTTCTTATTTTCTTCGTCTAGAATGTCCTTTCGTTCGAACGATAAGCTGTTCAATCTATGTTTCTGAATAGTGAAAGTACTCTGGTCAATAATATTAATATACCTTATTGTGAGCTGATCACATCACATCACATCAACAGCCTTTAGAAATAAGCCTCTTAGGCTTATGTCTTAATAATATGGTTTAATAATATTAAATTTATTGTCAATAATATTAAATTTATTGTCGTCTCTTTGTACTATTTTTCTGTAACTCAAAAAACGAATGTTCTCAAAGCCCGGATAAAACATACAAACTTTAAAAAGATGGTGCTTTATTACCCATTTTCATAATTGTTAAATAAAAGAGAAGAGTGAAATATAAAATTTTATCATTTTTATACCAGCCACATCCAAACATTTACTTAAAGGATGTAATCAAATTGGACTAACACTACAATTTTGTATTTGGAGGGGCTTACTTAATTGCACTTCCCTGCAATTACGCACTACTTGTTTGTTTTCTTATAATATATATTTACCAGCATAATTATACAAAATAACAACGTAGTTTCCATTAATAGAGCACCAATCTAGCGTATAGTACAGGTATTACATAAGAACAAAGTTAAAGGTAATTTTCTAATGAAGCGGCGAGCGTGGAGTAGAATTTTAAGTGGCCGTTTTAAACTTGTTAAAAGTCTATAATCACATTGAACACGTAGTATGTTTTTTCTCTAAAAAAATCTCTCAGTTTTAGCACGCCTTGTTGAACCTCAATTTTGTACGCTCCGTTAATTTAACAAAAGGCCACATTTCAGTGTCTCCAAATTATTTGAACAATAAATAGGCTTTAGTCTTCGATAAATTGTATGTTAGCTCTACAAATGATGTTGTCGTTTGTATTGAGTTAGCCATTTTTAGGGTTCCGTTCCGCAAAATATCCTTATTCTACTGGTCTAACTGTATGTTTGTATGTCTGTCCGCCTGTCTACCTAGACCTGTTTTCTTAGAAACATGTAAAGGTATCAAGTCTTTTTTTACATTAAAAACTTTTTTTAAATTTTAAAATGCTTATGGTATTATCTATCAAGGGCTGCTTTCAATTATACAATACTTTCAACAATTCGTTTTGTAATATGTCTGACCTTTGCTCAATGTATTTTAATCCTAGGTTAACAAGGTACTAAACTCTTTTAGTGCCTCATTATGTTTCAACTTAACTCATAGGGCCAGAAACAGCCCGAGTCATCACTATAGCGACACTCCTTTTTTATGGAACGGTGAATCGCATACCAAACATACTAAACGCTACTATAAAGCGGGAATATGGTTATTACCCTTTCTTGTTTCCCTCTATATTTGTGTCAGGGATGGTGGGCCAAGTACAACAATGATGAACAAACTTTAACCATATTGTGCACTATTTGTTGTTAATTCACGATAGGGTAGACAATCCATCAGTGCGTGAATGCATTAATTTGTATGTACCAAACAATTACTTGCGCGGTTGTCGTCGCCATCACCGACTCCTGACTTATCCTACAACGTGGCGTCTCCCACAAGCTGTTAGTAGCCCCACGGGAAAAGCTATTAAACTAATTGATTATTTTTTGCAAAATAATGTAGATGCAGACATATTTTTTGACAGCTTACCCAAATTCATGCAAAATGTAATGATCTTTTTAAATACTCATAAATAACTATTACCTATAATGTACTCTGTATAGCTATTAATATTTAATGTCATCTTGCAAATTTTTATGACATCTTATTGCTTCAATTCTTT